TAAAATCTGAAAACACATCATTTTCATTGATTTCTATACTCTAGTTAAATATGTAGTTTTTTTTTAATTAAAAATCTGAAATTGAGCAAAAACTAACATTAACATATATCCATGGTTTAATAATCTAAGAATTATACAACATTCAAAAATCATTTACAAAAAATAACATAAAACTCCTCAGTCAAATTTTGAAGTAGAAAGTAAAATAACATTTCAATTCAATAGTACCTGTTAAATATTATCAGGAACACTTGTTCTAAAACTTCTTTCACTACACAATAAAATTACAATTCAAATGATTATTATTATAATTTTATAAATCTCTTAAATGTTTGATTGTATACATAAAACCTCTTGAATTTAAAGCTTCTCTTATGTCATTCCTTAATTCGTTTGTAAATTCCCACTTCATCTAAATCTCAACAGATTAACTGACAAAAGTCTAGTTAATTATTAACTAAATTTAACTGGATTAATAGCTTTTCCTACAGTTAACCGCCAGGTAACATCGCGATATCTTAGTTTCTCTGTGAAGCATTGATTTTAATGTTAGTAATCTTTTAGTCTTGGAAAACATCATAACCGCCTTCTCCGTGGAATAGAAGAATTAATGAATATTTTCTTTAAGATCTCTCTACTTTTCTTAAGTAATATTTAGCGCTATATTGATTGACTTAAATTTAAAAATGTAAAGCGATATCTTGAAGATGAAAACATTTATTTAAGGAATAATTCATTTTAAGTGCTAGTGTAGAACTAGTAATAATTAAAGTTTAAGCATAAAGCTTTCAACATATTTAAATTTTTGCATACAATTATTACTTTTTGTATTGGGAAGAGAATAAATATATGTATATAATTTATCATTGGAACATTTTCACATATATATAAAGTCAGTGCTAGTTTTTTCATTATCTCAGAAAATGTGTTTTTTTTTAATCTGAGTCACAAAGGCCATCTGCTGTTCTGTAAGATATTCATTTCTAGACAAGAAGGAAATGAAAAATGTTTCTAATCTAAAAATATCCTAAAAATAGTTCAGTTTTTTTTCTTTCTCTCTCTCTGTCTCTCTCTCAATAATACAGAGTGAAAACGATACATGTGTTAAAACTTTTATTCCATTAAGTGTTAAGACAAAATGAAGGTTAAAACAATAATGAGTAAGGAAAACAAGGGATGTTCATTTTGTTTATTAACAAAACTTGTTTAATTTTGAATGAAAATCTCATTGCGAATTTGGAAGTATGAATAACTTAATAAATATGCATGATTTTTATATTTTGTAAATTCGGAAACCTATTTATGTTTTCATGTTATTCTAAAATCTAGAAAAAATTAATTCATTATAGAATATCATAAACAGTCAAAGCCTACATAAACAATTATGTCAAGTGAAATAATGTCTAATTAACCACACACGAAAACACTTTTAAAATAGATGTATAAATCCTCCCTATCCAGAAAAATAATTTTTCTCCATAAAAATCAAGTTGTCACATGAATTCCAAGTATTTATACATAGCTTTTGGCTGTGGATATAAGACCTGTTACCTGACACCCTGTACCTGTCAGCGGGACACGGACAGTGTCCAGATCTTCATATTTAATTAATATCACAAAACCACACTCATTTGTCCTCCTAATAGACTTAGAGATTTTGGACAGATATCCCGTACATGTTACATCATGGTGATCATTTCGACCTTCGGGTTATTAGTTGTATCCCAAAATTACATGATCAAGTTGTAGATTTCAGATGTCAAGTAATCGACATTAGTTGTGTTTGTTTGCAGATTGTCTTATTGGTATCTGGTACTAATTACAGGATTTATTTGTGTTAATTTGATTTCTTTTTTGTAGACGCCTCTGACAAAAAACATTTGATGCCAAGTGGTTAGTTGTCTTATTGGCAACCATACCACATCACTTTATTTTTACACTGTTCTCAATAAAGATTTTTTTTGTTGTTAAAATACTAGTGTAAAATGGTAAGAAATCAACAATTAGAATAAGTTTGGAATAACAAAACAATTAGAATAAGTTTGGAATAAGTAAACAATTAGAATAAGTTTGGAATAACAAAACAATTAGAATAAGTTTGGAATAAGTAAACAATTCGAATAAGTTTAGAATCAAATTATATTATGCCTGTAATACATGTACCGACTGTCATAATAATTTCAGTTTTGTCACAAGTCTCTTTGGCAGACATTCTCGAAACATAAACATAAACATAAACCATAAAATAATTACGGTTAAATAAAAGGTTGAAGATTATAGCATCACATTGAACTGGAAGAGTATGTCTACACCTAATTCAAAAAACGTAATAATATAACAGTTGCTACCCTTTTTATTTAGAGAACATCCGGTTGTTGAACGAATTTTGCGTAGTTAAAATATTCAACTTGTAAAATTAAACTCTCATTCGAACTAATGCATTTTATTTGATTAATTTAAGTCGTCAACAAAAAGTGTTTTCTATCAACAAATGTCTAGTTTTCATTTATTCCAAATTATATTTCAGGATTTAGAAAAGTCCTCATTTATAATTTCTTTAAGATGTACGATAGGGGAACCCTCGCTAAGATCATCAGTTATAATGTTCAAAGGGATGTTGAAAGTTAATCTGAATAGAAAACACCCCTAATAGAATCAATGACTTTCAATCCGTACTCTTATAAATATCCAACTGGTAATAAACACGCCGAACTATTTCTCAAAAGGTGACTTTCCCTTAATTGAAGTCAGACCTGCTGAGTTGTTTTGTTGGTCAATGTTTAAGATATTTTCCTGTAAATATGAATATTAAAGACCGATGATCCTTACCATATAATTACATGTTCATAAGAGTCTTTTTACAAGAGTAACATCAGTTTTGGGAAAAACAGCTTGTCCTACCAATTAAAATGCCTTAAAACTTTCCACAGTGCATTTCAAATTTTTCAAAGTTGCCGCATTCAAAGCTAAACTCGCATGATGTCTGTTTGATTTGTCATAAAATGACCAACTATAGCACATTGCAAAAATTCTCATCTCAGCATCCTTTTCCTGTGACATTTTATAATAATAGTTCTGCACCTCGACATTATACTTTCTAAAATTTGTTCAAAGTTTGATTAAAAAGTAAGAGGAGGTGAGATTGGAAATACTGTTACCAGGAAACCCCATTTTTGTATGTTTTGACTTATTGAAGATTGTCTAAAAAATCTACTCTTCGGACAAATTGTACAAATATGAGTTTTCACTTGTAAATTAAAGAAAAAAAATTTCAGATGATACACAACTTTTGCGAAATTGAAACAATTTAACTATCATACTACGAGAGAGATTATATATTTTCTTTACTATATTTCTTTTTCTTCTTTATCTCATCATAACTATGAATAAAAGGGGATGAGGGATGTATGTCAATGGAACAACACTATAGGCATATTCATACTACATAAAAATATCGAAAACATTTCCGCCATAAAACATTACCTTTTCTTCCACACGCTTACTTTATTTGTGAATCTATTACTTTAACGCCTATCTGGTCATCTATGATAACATTACATTATAATAGATACTTCTGGATGATTAACGTTGACCACAGTCTTGTTGGTTTTTGTCCACATCGTGTTGTTGTTGCCTATGCCTGTATAATTAACCCACCAAAGCCATCTTGATACAAGATAAATTAAGATATGTCATGTATGTACCTTCAGGATGTTTGTCTTTAGAGTGTTATAGGCTTCATCTACTGGTCCGACTGTGTACCAAAATCTTCTGTCAAATTACACAAACCGTCATGTCAGACAGCTAGGTTTTGCTAATTAGAAAGAATATCTTGCCGCGGTTTACCAAAACTTTTTATCATTTTTTGCATCGACTTTTTTAATTTCTATTTTATGACCGTTTGTAATTACAAATTTTGATTCGCTTATAAAATTCTTAAAGTTAAAATAACCAATCGACTGTCCTAACGACAGTGGCAAATATTTCATGAATTTTAAAAGCATGCAAAGTAATATGAGATTATTATCGTAATATTTGTATTTATTATGTATAATACGAGTGAATAATCCAGTACCATATCTCATAATCCATAGCTTTGTAACTACATATTATTTCATCATTTTTTCTAAGATAAGAGTTGTCACAAATGGCCACCCGCAAAGTCAAGGCATTGTTTCACACTTTCCTAGAAATAAAAAAAAAATCTGTGCAACGAAATGAACACATGAAACCAACATCTGAAGATAGAAAACTCCAACAATATTAAACAAGGTGACACAGATACACCCGAATATCTTATCCTATCTTTATAACTCTTATTTGAAGCTTCATACTACACGTAACTTAAAGCTTGATAAAGAATGCGAAGGTTTTAACCTTTAGTTTGTACATAGTTATTTACAATCTGATAGTTACCGTCAAGGACATACGGGGACCTTCCGCTATAATGGCGGTATCCCAATTATATTTATATAACTCCTAGAATGTAATCATCTGTAAGAAATGTCAGAAAAGTGAGGTTGTGTTGTTATGAAGCCAAATTGTCGATTTATACTTCTAAACCTGAAGCTTTCTCTAATATTAAATTATATGACAACCTTCATTGTAAACTACAATATCTTAATTTATGCTTGAAAAAATCAACTTTATCTCAAATATCACGGAAATACAAATCGTAAGTGTCAGTTTCAGAACTTGTAATGTACATTGGCGTAATTCTGAAGGTTGGTATTGTAACCTTACGTAGCGTGGTAAAATGAACTATATTTTAACTGAATGTGTATTGCATTTCACAATTGCATGATTTATAAATTGATTTATTTATTCCCTATTAAAATAATACACTCATTCAGCGGAAAAATATAGAATTGAGTTGATTCATTGGAAAAATAGGGTTGGTCTTTGACGGATCAAGGCTTTGATTGATGGATTCGGTTGGCTTGCCTTCTCTAAGCCAATAGGATTCAAGTCGCTTTACACCTAACAGTAGTTTTAACTCGGAGTTTTATTGTGTTCAAAGTCGCAAGGCCTATGTTTTCTGCTCGGTTAGGTGTTCAACAAAGTTATAAGTTAATTGGATTCATTTAAGCATAAGGATAATCTAGGAGCTTTTGTTTTTGTGGGTCACTGTATTGAAGGACAGAGTATGTTGATGGACAGTGTCCTTGTTTTGTTCTTGGACATTGCTTAAATCTATGAAGACTTTATGATGAATGTTTCGGAGTGATTTATTATTACCACATCTCTACTGTACTTAAAATAAACCATATATAGAGAACATGCCGCAGATATGGTGCAGTTTAAATATTTAACGCTTGACTGTAACTAAATTATGTACTACACTTAGAATCGCGTGTGGCTATGTATGATCTACCGTAAAACAATTGGAATACTTTATGTTGAATATTTTACACTTTATAAACTCGTTCTAGGTGAGATAATTTGTATGACATCAATTTGTCAAGTTTTCTATAACATAACGGCTTTACAGTAAATTTGAGACTTTTATATGTTTTTGATTTATATTTCTAACATAAACAACATAATAACAGGGTGCCATGTACCGTATCGGTTACTGCTTGTAGATTTTTTCTTCTTTTTTCCATTTCATCTCATGTTAATTTGCACTCATTTTTCAGTTTAATTATTTTTATTTTGTTTTATTAAAAATCATAACTATAGACTTTAAAACTGTCACTTATTGGTATTTTTTGTAGATGCTCTAATTTTTCATTTATTTTTTGTGTCTTTTTTTATATTTACTTATTCAGATTTTCATATTTTACTTCCCTTTTATAATAAAAGCTATAACTTATGGCATGTCCTCTTTGACTTTTAAATAAGCTTAGTCATATAATATTTTTCAATACATATATTTTTATTTTTTTATTTTTCAGGACTTTTAGACAATTTTAATTTGTTAAGAAATTTCTATGACAACAACGATTGAAGATAATACTAATTCTAACGTCATGCCTTCAAAAGGTAAGTTTGCCTCATATTTGTAAGATAACATTTTACCAATTTTTTCTAATTTTAATGTTACAAATAATTTACCCATTGTCATTGGTCTGAATGTTTTTCTGTTTTTTGCGCTCCTTTTTCTATTTTTTGGAAAGATAGAGGGGTCTCATTCATTCATATTTTTATTTATTTGTGTTTTAAATATGTGTACCTATTTAATATTTTTATATATGTGCTTCAACATGAAATCGGCTACAATTTTGTCATTTCTGTTTGAAATATTTCGAAATTTGGTAAGAACAACCTTCTAATTTATTATGATTCAATAGACAACACAAACCCAAAAAACATAAGATATTTCGATGTCAATTTTCTTCTTTAAAATACACGACGTCAACATTTTGACAATATTTATGAATTTAACACGAAATCCATCTACTTTCTTGTTCACTTAAAGTTCATGTTTGTAGATCGAGCTCAATAAATATGATAATTCCATTCTTCTTTTGAAAACATTCGTCCATAAAACTAAATAAAATCCAAACAATCGTAATAAACGACGACATTTCAGTGGTTCTATTTCAGAAGAACTGTAATGAATCTATAATGCGGACTAATTCTGGTTTTATTTTGGAGAAGTATCCCTTGTTATGAGTCCTTTGGATTATAAATCACATATAAGAACATCAGCCATTAATGTGAATGTCGTCCAATATTCTGAAAATATTGTCGACAATTTAGCATTTAGACACTAACTGACATTAGATAAGGTCAATTCATTGCCTGCTGACGGGAAGGATTTACTAGGATTTAGGACGCATCGAGTTGTGGATGTTGCTAAAGCCTGGTAATTATTCCCTGATCTCAAACATCTTCATGTTTATCACATTGATCTGTACAAAGTCAAAATACAAACTTTATCATTGTTCTTTCTATTTATTACATAAACAAAATATTCTTTTGCAATCGTAAATCGACCACTTCATTATTTAATTGTCCTTTTACATTTGGGTCTGTAAAACTGAGTTTAAAAGGAGGATATTATTAAGTTCTTCATTTAATGTAGGTTTCTCTGCTAGGTTCTGTGTCATGAAATTTTAAATGATTTTTATTATTGTTGTTGCATGTGTATATATTTATATAATTTGCGTAGTTTTCGTTAAAACTTTAGTTTCATGCAAAGTCAGACATTATGATTTGTGTTAAACAAGGTCGGCGAAAACTTGAAGCTGATCAGTAAAAAACTACAAGATAAGGATGTGTACTTAAATATTTCATTTGAAACATAATTTTTCATGAAAATAATTTTACGTCAGTGGTAAATGGAAAATACATTTCCAACATGACATTTTGACAGCCACTTTGAAACAAAATGTTTTTACTACAAAGCAATATCCAAACAAGATCTTTGTAAAGAAGTCTAAAAAGATGATGTATACCTATTGCTATATGACAAATGAAAACGTTTTAGTGACCCAGGGTCATTCGTTGTGAAGCTTTTCCGTTCGGAACAAAGCTATTACACTAAGTATTATTGTCAACGGAAGAGTAATTAATGTGTTAAGTATAATGGTCGTGAGAAAATAAATTAATTTTTGTTATTTAGTGTCAAAATAAAATATAAATTTTCTTTAATTATCCGTTTTACATGATTCTTAATTGTAACCTTCATCTTTGTCATCAAAATGTTTTATTTCATTTACATGGCATGGATGCCTTGTACGAGCTTCCGTCAATTTTTCATCATGTTTTATTATTTCTGTTTGCTACACATTACATTGTCAGACACAACATATTCCCATTAAGGAAAATGCACATTCCATGCAGATACCTAATATATTGTGTTGGATCAGACAAAGGTCTCATTGTACTTAAGATATAAATTTTCACTCTAAGGTATGTTTGTGGATTTTCTTGCGAAAATATAGTTCATTTTGAAGGTCTGTTTTTGTTGGGTCACTATTTCTTAGAGGTCCAGACTGTTTATATCCTAATAAGTTTAATTCGGAAAAAGTGAAAACAACTTTAGATATAAATTATTGCATGAAATGTCAAAGACTGATTATTAAACAAAGGTATGAGTAATGCTAGGAAAATCTTCTTAAAACATAAAAACAGAAGAAAAAGATATCGGTTTTAAACACCTGTGCGTAAGACTTAAAAAACGGTCGATAACTCTAACCACCTTGTTATTCGGTACAGGTGTAGCTGTTCAGGTAGAAAAATCACTTTAATTATCGATTCATGTTCCGATGCCCTGTGAACATTTAAGTATTTGTGTACAGATGAATGCATCTAAAACAATACCTAACCATCAAATTATTTCTGTAATAAAACATGGAAGGTGATAGGTTTATAACTCATACTATTTCCTTTTTATAGCTTTTATAGTAAAATAATTTTCTGCTGATTCATTACGTTACTACGATGTAGAGTAAACTATAACTCTGTTGATGCATTACGTTACCACGATGTAGAGTAAACTATTACTCTGTTGATTCATTAAGTTACTACGATGTAGAGTAAACTATAACTCTGTTGATTCATTACGTGACTACGATGTAGAGTAAACTATAACTCTGTTGATCCATTACGTTACTGCGATGTAGAGTAAACTATAACTCTGTTGATTCATTACGTTACTACGATGTAGAGTAAACTATAACTCTGTTGATTCATTACGTTACTACGATGTAGAGTAAACTATAACTCTGTTGATTCATTACGTTACTACGATGTAGAGTAAACTATAACTCTGTTGATTCATTACGTTACTGCGATGTAGAGTAAACTATAACTCTGTTGATTCATTACGTTACTACGATGTAGAGTAAACTATAACTCTGTTGATTCATTACGTTACTACGATGTAGAGTAAACTATAACTCTGTTGATGCATTACGTTACTACGATGTAGAGTAAACTATAACTCTGTTGATTCATTACGTTACTGCGATGTAGAGTAAACTATAACTCTGTTGATTCATTACGTTACTACGATGTAGAGTAAACTATAACTCTGTTGATTCAATACGTTACTACGATGTAGAGTAAACTATAACTCTGTTGATTCAATACGTTACTACGATGTAGAGTAAACTATAACTCTGTTGATTCATTACAAATAAGTATATGTGACTCTGCTAAGTCATTTCATCAGAAGAGTTATACTTTATTTGAAGACTGCAAAACTTACAAGCGACAAAAGTAAGTTTCCGCTTTATATCAATTGTCATTTAGGAATTTGTGATGTTGAATATGTAGTTCTTTTTTTTTTACAAAGTGATTCATGTCTCAATTGTTTATTTGTTTTTGCTTGTTAATTTGCCACTAATGTAATCTTGTCTATTGTCAAATGCTGTCTTGTAACTATTTTAAACCTATATTCTCAAATTTTGTTGATTTTAAGTTAATGTATAGAAATGTTAATGTTATATTGTACTTTTAGACGAAGATTCAAGTGGGAACTCAGTAGGAAGCCCTGACACAGGTAACAACAGCCTAAATAACGGAACAAAGAAACCACGCACCAAAAGAGGTGAGTTTCGTTGGAATACGTAACCAGGTTTTCCTTTAAAATTTTCACCAAAATTGTAAAAATAGGTTTTATTTGTTCCGTTGCTTAGGTATACTATCTTATATTTCTCACAAGTTGTTTCTTTTAAAATATGGAATGAACAGACTAAATCCTGTCAATGTTGCTTAATCTACAGTTTTCTATTTGGTGTTTTGTAGACTGATTTTTAGTCTGCTCCCTTTTTGGCCGTTATGTTTTTTGTCTTTCTATTCCGTTTTCTTTTTGATTGCTACATGGTATCTATAAATCATAATCTATTTTTCTAACAATTCAGTTACATATATGAGAGAGAAAAAAAAATGGCAGATTTTAAATTTGTGTTCTTCTCACTTCCGGTTTCTATGACGTTTAATATTATGAGTGTTTATTGAAGAAACCTCAGCAACTTGAATTTAAATTGTAAACAAGTCAATATAAAGCACCTATTCACTAAACTTAAGTAAACACAGAGTAAAATTGCTCATTTATGACAAAAGCTTAAGCTTTAAAAAGCCAATTGAGATGAATTTATTTCGGATAATAGATTTGCACTCGAAGGCTTAACGCAATTAAAACAATTGTTCAACAGCCTCTAAAAGTAAAATAAATCAATAGACTTCAATGTTCGGTCAATTTGTATTAAGTATCGCTCCTGTCGATAAGTTGTGTTTCAACAATAAATAAATCTCGTCGACATCCTATCTTTTCCATTGATCCTCCGTTTCATTACTTGATAATCATTTCGTTCCGTATCTGATGATCAGGATTCAGCTCCAATTTTAAGTTGCAAATTCTTTGCTTTATGTATAGGACAATTCTGGGAAATCAAACGATGATGTGTAATTGCTTGTTTCGCGACGGAATGACAACGATTTGAGTCCGTTAATTTGTATTGTGTCAACGTCTTTGACTATTTTATTGTAGGTTTCTCTAGATGTGCTATAGGCAAATGTTACTATTTGTCTTCTATAAATATAACATGAAAAGTTCAATACTCGAAAGAAACAGTTTTTTTGGACAGCATTGAGAAAGAATGTTTGCGATGCTCTTTTTTATAAATGTGGAAAGGAAAAGGGTGTGTGTGTTTGGGGGGGGGGGGGGGGGGACATGAATGTTAAGTAAAGTGCAGACCCCATTATATATATTCATACAAATACACAAGGAATTATCTGTATACATATTTCAACAATTATTTAGACTTTCTCATGTTCGAAAATGTTTTTTGAAAATCAATATCTTTATTTTGGTTCTAAATACTAAACAAACATTTGTTTACCTTTTATACAAATCCAAACGTCAATGCATATGTCAAAACTTCTCGTAGCGTAATCCCTATAGAAACGAGAAATGTGTGAAAAGTAAGGTTTGAGAGAAATAGTATAAAGTAATTGGATATATTATTTATAAAAATTGATAATAAACAATGTAGCTCTTTTAAGATGCAAGTTAAATTATAAACACATGATTACAGAAGATCACAGAATCGAAAGAGGAAATAGAAATCTTTAGATTAACCTTTCAATTTGGAGTCTAAAAATTTGGTAGAGACTACACGGGTGGCCATGAAAAATGTTTCGAAATTATTTTTTTCTGCCGAAAGGGCAAAATATTCTTTTACACATATTTAGTATAAATGATTTGGTTTTTTTATTTGAATTGTTCATTTGAAATATAGTTTGTTTGAGGCGATCCAGATATAACATGTTATTCCCGAAAAAAACATATTTTCGATTGTCACCGCATTACTGATCGAAGAGTCAATTCGATGTCTGCAAATTCATAATTCAAATAAATGACTGAATTATGTCATAACAAACTAGGTTTTAAAGTGAGCATTCCAACAAGCTAGGTTGATTGAGGTTAAAGCATCCACAAGTGTGGTAGGCTTGAAGCGATCACATTTCTATTTGTAATTTCTCATTATGCTAGCATAAGAATCAACCAATCGAAATTTACTAAGGTTGACTTATTCAAAGTATTATGCAGTAATAGTTTCAATGTTATGCCATGTTACAGAAAAGTAAGAGGAAAAAGTATGGGTTCCAGTCACAGTTTGTGAAATAGGGGGGTGTGTGAAAAATCCGATCGAATTCAACATTATTATTGTTAGGCTGGCTTCTAGACACGATATGCGCGCTTGCCTACACATTTTTTTACCTAATTTTGTCGACCAATTGTACTTTAAGCTTAACTCGTAACTAATATTAAGAGGGTTACGATGGTTCAATGTAATTTGGATTTTTTTGTAGTGAAGTGAATACACAATTGTATGTAGTTGGTTTATTTCTATAACTACATAAAGTTGTTATAAAATAGAGAATACCCATCAAAGAAACCTTGAACAATAGATGGTCAAATTTATCTTCATTCGATACATATTTTCACGTTGTAATTGAAAATTACACTTATTGTAATGTAAATGTAAATCGTAGGTAAAAAGGAATTTTCTTTTTAATAGATCCTTCCGGAATAAAAGTGAAAAGAAATACTCTCATTTCAAATCTTGTTATGAATATTGATTCTATAATAACATAGGAAAACAAATTCAAAAGTATTTCTTAATAATAGTAAATCTGTTCTTGAAATATTGCAATCAATATTCATCCAGGAAGGTGGGAAAATTGAAAATTTCTTCAGAGTTGTAATGCAAACGCCAGAGGACACATCACCTCTACAACAATGTATTTTCCCGATAACCGAGAGCGGAAGCAATTTATATTAAATAACTGACGAAGTCGGATGACGGGTCGCAGCATCCCTTGTAGCGACGGACATCAGATTTAATGAATGGCTGACAGTTGAGTTCGGAGGTTGTATTAGGTTATCAATTTTGGCCCATTTAATATCCACGGTGGTCTGACGTTTAAGACAGATAAACACAGTTTACCAGCCTTTTTATTTGAGATGGCGTAATGTCTATAGTGGAATCGAGATCACCGTAATAAGATGGTGTTTGCAATGCAAGAATGACAACAATGACATGATGATATCAGCAAACATTCATTAAAGTTAATAAAAGACGTGTAATTGGCATCATAGTCTTTCATTATAATTGTCTTAACAAATGTCGTATTGACATAAAAAGAATGGTAAACATTTTATCAAGTAAATCGTTCAGAGATTCTGAAATCTTAGAAGACTGTGCTATGAAACAAACATTAAAACAAATTCAAAATTCTCTGAATTACTTTTCTTCGTAAGTAATATTTGATTATAAATAACACTTGGAAATGATATTGCGCTTATACTCATTTAAGACATGAAAAGACAAACTACGAAACATTTCGGAATGCCCTAAATCCTGAATGATTTATAAGTTTCATTAAATGTTTCTTATAATATGGCGATGAAGATGTGCACAATTGTTATGCTACATTTCTCATATTATACTTGTTCATTTTCATCATAACTCTGTTATGGCGAAGCTTTAGTGTACAATTTATTTATTCTAGCAGTCAGTCTGATATGATTTCAGTAATGTCCTTTTCACCTTACATTCCTTTGTAAAGTTTTCCTTGAAAGATGATGTCCTGTGATTGTCTGTTGTTAGTAGTTGTTACAATAATATATTGTATTGTCCGATAACGGATGACAGAATTTGTATGAAGATTTTTCCAGTTTTATATACAAAACGTTGATTATAATATATATATAACTTATATCGACGCTTGAGGTCCTCATGATTTCGATGCTTAGGTCGGAGTTCGTCGTTGGCCATCTTCCAAGATAAAGAACTGCAATGCAGTTGTGCTGTTCCTAAGATCAATGTTTTCTTTTCTGATTTTTGTCGCGTGCTCTTCTATCCATTATCCTCTTTATATAGATATGTGTATACTATGTTATTGTGGTATCATTGCCACAATGCCTATCAACTGAACGTCATCTGAGAAGTTAAATAATCTCTCCATCCCTTAGTGTCACTAACGTCAGATACTTCTAATGACCTTTGATCCCTTTCACAGGTCACGTTTGATACTAATCTCGTCACCAGATAACCACATCTGTCGGGGGAATGTAGTATTCGCTGTTGTGGTTAACATCATATATCATGTCATGTTTTTGTAGGATAAAATGTAGAAAAAATAAAATATTATTCAGTTTTGAAAAAGTAATACTATTTTACAAAATGTAAGTACATCAAAACATGGATCCCTTCCATGAAGAGTTGAAAGGGGAGATAAAAAGAGAATTTTGTTACTGTTGGAGAGAGAGGGGGGGGGGGGGTCATCCGACGTCAGTCCTTTTTTTTACAGTCCTTAACTATAACGCACAAATTGATAATAACGAAAGACATAGAAATATAGCGGCTTTATTATCCAAGTATTTTAAACATTGGTTGTATATACTTTACTGCACACTTTATGCCTATATTAAGGAGAAGCTTTACAAAGCAGTAAATCCCCTGATGTAACATTTTTCGAGTCCTTGAGAACTGAACGAAATGCATTTACATTAATTATGTTTAAAAAACGGCTTATTTTTACTTGAAGGAAAATGTCTTCCTTATATACTTTATTTATCCAAATTCAAAGAATGGTTTTGATTTACATTACATAACGGTATTACCATTAATTGGTATAATTTGCCAAAATAGTCCTTTCACATAAAGCTGACTACCATATGTTACAAGACTCGGATTGATTTACGGATCAGAAGTTTGGCCACACACAACAAAACACCCCAGCTTAATCTGTTTATAATCTATTTATAAATATCTTATTAATATACAGAATCTACATACTACTGATTCTTAAATGGACGACACATGTTCAGGAGTTGTCATTGAATAGCCCTTACTCAACACATTACTATAATTTAAGAAAATCTGTCACACTACACATCTCTATGTGCGGTCAAAACATTAACCTAATCATTACCCTTTTCGCACTGTTTTGTTCGTCTTGAATATTTAAGGTTTAAAGTATTTGTAATAAAACTTATTATCAAAAATTATTGTCTAATTTACTTAAGAAGATGTGTGTATACGCTAACGAGACAGTAATCCCGGAGACAGCGAAAGCACAGACAGAAAAAAACAAAAGACAAATTGAGGTTAACATGCTTTTTTTCCAAAGCAGAAAATGTCTAGAAACGCTGGGAACAAATATGACCGAGACTAGAAGATTTGCCATTTACACATCATTCTATAAAACGCAAAAATATTCATTTATTTAAATATTTTAGTCTTGAAGACAGCTACTCATATACATACAAGTCAGACAGCTACTCATATACATACAAGTCAGACAGCTACTCATATACATACAAGTCAGACAGCTACTCATATACATACAAGTCAGACAGCTACTCATATACATACAAGTCAGACAGCTACTCATATACATACAAGTCAGACAGCTACTCATATACATACAAGTCAGACAGCTACTCATATACATACAAGTCAGACAGCTACTCATATACATACAAGTCAGAAGGCAAACATGATTCAGTATATCATTTAAAAAAAAAGATTTATATATTTAGTGGTCAACACGATGCCGTTGATATGAATAAAAGTAGACACAAGGTATACAACATGGGGACAGCAACCCAACAAAGTAACACACTTAAAAGAAAACATGTAGCCGTCAACTTACGGCCTGAAACATAGAAAAGTGTCTATGCCATAAGTAAAGATCTTATTTGCCAAGTGTCTATGCCATAAGTAAAGATATTATTTGTTTTGTGAAGTGTCTTTGCTATAAGTAAAGATCTTATTTGCCAAGTATCTATGCTATAAGTAAAGATCTTATTTGCCAAGTGTCTATGCCATAAGTAAAGACCTTATTTGCCAAGTGTCTATGCCATAAGTAAAGACCTTATTTGCCAAGTGTCTATGCCATAAGTAAAGACCTTATTTGCCAAGTGTCTATGCAATAAGTAAAGACCTTATTTGCCAAGTGTCTATGCCATAAGTAAAGATCTTATTTGCCAAGTGTCTATGCTATAGGTAAAGACCTTATTTGCCAAGTGTCTATGCCATAAGTAAAGATCTTATTTGCCAAGTGTCTAGACAGTTAGAAATAAATTAAACAGAGATTATTCTTACCCCAATAATTCAGTCCCTCCCCATAATCGATCTCTTCTTCATGCGAATTTTGCCATCGTAGAGCAGCGAAATAAAACGAATGAATTATTCGGTTCGAGAATATTGCAGATCTGTCAACACGTGCCTTAATAAACAAAAAACAGTAAGATACAAAAAAAAATCGTACAGGGACCTGCAAATAAATACGTGACGGAGTTAAACTAGTCTTGTTAGTATTCAACCTATCCCCTTTTTCGACTCGAAAGTCGATCTTTACTTGAGATTTGTTGACTTGTATAACATAAGTCAGCAAAATTTAAAATTGACAAAATCACAATACATGTGCTACAGATAAACAAAGCGGAACTTTGTTATGAAAGGAGTCTCGTGCAAAAAAATATATAAAATGGGCCCGAATTTGTAAATGACCCACTTTTCTTTGTGTAAAATCATACATAAAATTAGCCCTACGTTGAACTCTGTAATTTAACCAATCTAAGCTAAAACCTATAATAAACAATACATTTTAAAACACAAATTAAAAATATGCAAAAAATCATAGTCTTGCTTGACAAGAAATCCTTTTTTCTATAGATATTAAAAAACATCAAACAAAAACATAGTTTTTAAACGAAGCGACCCCTACATGACTTTTCCCAAACGATACAGGAATTAAAACTTAATATTTAAGATTGCACTTGTAGATAACGTTATCATATAAAACAATTGTTAATTGTTGGTTTGTAGGCGGACAAACTTTTCAATGTCTTACTTTGAAAATACTTTAAACATATTGTTGTATATATTTGAATGTTTTCCGTGTTTTTCTTGTTCTAGTTATTATGCTTGTTGTATAGTATTCGGGCAATGTTCAGAAAAAGATAATACAAAACAAAAATAATCAAATTAACAAACAAACAAATAAAACAATAAAAAAAAACGAAGGCCATTGTTTATTTTTATGAAAATAGTCATATTATATTCTACTTTTTCGTTTGATATAAAGACCAAGAAATATATAAAAATGTTCGAAGGTCAAAATGTTGCCAGAAACAACAAAATACGTAAAAGATAACAAAAAAAAGCATGTGTTTGAATAACATTTTTAAATTTTACATTTAAATCTGTCATTGTTCATTCTTGTACAAGATACACATCTTATTACGGAATGCTATTACATAGGTGACCAATATGTTAGGACTGAAATACTACATCTTCAATAGCAACCTGTCAAGAAAGCAATTTTAGGTGATCGCTTGTAAAAATCCATGTCACAATGAACAAAGATGTGCACAGAAAATTAATTCAATATTAATCACTAAATAGGAGAACATGTAATTTATCAGTTTAACGGTGGGTGGGAGTAAATTCTGACATCCAAGTCATTTTTAATAGGGTGGTAATGATATCAGCCGACAAAATCAGTCAAACGTGACCAAGTATATGAATGAAAAAAATACAATGAAACTTGCCATCAGAAAATTGCAAGCCGTTGTGTGTGCGCTATTTTACATTGTATTTAACCAATTACAGAAATGCCTTCCTTTCTTAAGCGATTCGTTAGAAATCAGATAAAATATATTGTATTTCAAACACAGCAAAATATTTTGATCTGATCGATCGTTACACAATAATGCTGAACAATTGACTATTTAAAGCGAATCTTTGCATGTTTCTGCTAAATCCACCTTTGACAGGAGATGTTTATTACTTAGAAATACAATTACATATATTGTAAATAAAGGGTTTTCATCTACGGTAATTATATAAAAGATTAACATATATAAAATCACAAAAGGTCGGTATATGTTAGAATTGGATAGCAGGGAGCAATGAACAAGATGTTTATGTGCAAATTATAATTGTTTGAATAAAGCATTGTGCAACGGCGGTATTGTCAAATGTTCAGATGTCATAGTAACTGAATATATCTAAATGTCGAAAATTAAAAGATTGATGTACATTTGTCACGTCATGCGTGCATAACTTATTAGAGTTTAGATTTAATATTTTATAATTTTTTTGTGTGTCTCATTGATTATAAGATAAATAGTTATAAAGCCGAGTATCTAATTATTTTGTACACATGTAATTTAATTATATTGTTGTTATTCATTTTTGTCATTCATGAATGATTTCTCCAGAATATATTTGTTTATATCAAAACTTTATTTCAACCAATCATACTTAAATATTACTCTGGATGGGGTTTATAGATTTGAGAGAAATGGGCCAAGAATACAGAAAAAAATGGACCAATCAATTAACAATAGGAAAAAAATATGTAAAAAAAAGGATAAAGAATATTGGTTTGCAAAAATATAAGAAATAGAGAATAATGGGCAAAATAAATAATGAATAGAAAAAAGGGTCGAAAAAAATAAAGAATAGAAAAATAAAGGACACTCCAATCCAACCCCTCCTTTAAGAATCAAAATTTGCAACTTCACACTTGAAACAGGGGAGATAATTTATTACAGCATCTCAATTCTGATTGATTGCCTCTTAAGGGATTTTTGCACATGATATTTAGAAATAGAATGCTTGGCAAGTCAATAAAGATTATCTTGTATTTTTCAGGTCACAGTGGAGTTAATCAATTAGGTGGTGTATTTGTGAACGGGAGACCACTTCCTGATTCAACACGGCAACGAATTGTTGAACTTGCCCACAGCGGCGCTAGACCATGTGACATTTCTAGAATACTTCAAGTATCGAATGGTTGCGTAAGCAAAATTCTCGGACGTTACTATGAAACTGGGTCAATTCGACCTCGAGCCATTGGTGGAAGTAAACCAAGAGTTGCTACTAATGACGTAGTTACAAAAATTGCTCAATATAAACGCGAGTGTCCATCAATATTTGCCTGGGAAATAAGAGATCGCCTATTATCAGAAGGATGTTGTAATCAAGAAACTATTCCAAGTGTAAGTAGAATTAATTGTAGATTTAATTCAAATGAGCTAGTAGCCACATATAGGTTCCATTACTGATAACATGGCAAGTCCACTTTCACAAAATGACTACTAGTATATTACTTTCCATGAAATATGGTTTTATAAACATAAGGAAAATGGTTGGATGTTTTCACTGTTCAATAACAGGTAGAAGATAACAACACCAGATTAAAAAGAAACTCCCATTCCAGAAGGCAAAAATCCTAGGCAACGTGATAGGTGTAAGGGCACTAATACAAACAGTCAACACTTGTAATCTAAAGCCTATTGCAATAAGAACTCATAACTAAAGCCTTGTGCAATATGGCTTCCTATCCAAAGCAGTGGGCAAAACCGAATCACATATCAAAGATTTGGATAATGTAGCCTCAAGATCAAAGCCGTGATTGATAACAACTAAAACTTTTGACAATACGACATCGAAACTAAAGCCTTGGCAAATAAGACCTAAGAACTAAAGCCTTGGCCAATAAGACCTCAGAACTAAAGACTTGGCCAATAAGACCTCAGAACTAAAGCCTTGGCCAATAAGACCTCAGAACTAAAGCCTTGGCCAATAAGACCTCAGAACTAAAGACTTGGGTATACAACATCACAACTGAAGCCTTGGGCAATACGACCACTAATTTAATTCTTAGGCAAAACGGCCTCACAATCAAAGCCATTGGCAATACGCCGTGGGCAATACTTTCTCCCAAATGAAGCCTTGGGCAATACCTTCTCCCAACTGAAGCCTTGGGCAATACTTTCTCCCAACTGAAGCCTTGGGCAATACCTTCTCCCAACTGAAGCCTTGGGCAATACTTTCTCCCAACTGAAGCCTTGGACATTACGACTTGACAGTTCTGGATTTTTTACGTTGCAAAATGACGTCTTAAGAAATTGTCTGCCTTTTGGGAATATGTAAATTACCCTTCAAGAAACAGTCGCACATTATATTTTTTTGTATTATTGTGTACGAGGATTGCAGTGTGGCGAATTAGCAAAACTTTGTTTGTGTGTAAATGGTTTTACGACCAACATATGCAGTATAAAAGCAAATAACGTACATTGTTGGCATATATACTAGTATAAAGTTGTCTGTGCTTGATGTGAATCAAGAGGGAAAATTGCGCTTCATCTGTTTCCAAAGGTGGTATTTATAGATGTCGAAGTCTTTGTTGTAGACATCATACAAATAAAGATGGTTTAGCCTTATTGTTGACATAATTTGGTGCATTTTATTCTACTCGCAAATGAAGTAATAATTTGAAGGTCATATTCCTCACTTGTTTATGACCTTCAGATATTTTGATTATCCCTCTAAGGTTCTAAAATTTACTTTACTGTTAAAATTTGTCTTTGTTTGAATTTTTGAATTTTTATAAACACATTTCACGTGAAAATTCACTGCACACTTTATGCAAATTTCACGCGAAAAGTTAGATATAATGAGTTAAGTGTGTTAGGGTGAAGGCATTTTAAAGTCATTGACGAAGTTTTTATGCATCTTTTTTTTCATTTTTTTTCCCAAGGTCGTCTTTTATGAGAATTTAATGTACAACTATATTATCATTTTGAGAAACATCTCTGAATGGATTTCACTTTCTCACTTCATTACATACACAGTGAATATAAACTTCAAATAAATCTTTTTGATATTATTTATTCTGCACAATCGTAAAATTTAATAAATCAATGAAATGTGATTTTTATTTGCAGTCGATTTAATAAATGTTTCAATGAAACAGCATGTATTTTTTAAATTTATTTGTAAAGCAAAAAAAAATTATTTGACTTTTAATGAATATAATAATACAGAAATGCCATCATTAAGTCTATTTCATTGTAACATTTTCTTCGACTTATCATTTTAAATGCTAAATATCTTAATATTTGAAGTATTAATAATGTTACAATTACACTGGTAAAACCAACGGTTTAAATGTTTTCATATCATTTATTTTGCTTAAATTGTGAAACACATTTATTCGTTAAATCTCTTTAATACAATAAAACTCAGTGGAAACTGTGAGTTTATTTAACATGTTTGAGAAATCGAGCGCACCTCCTGGTGATTAGATTGAAAAGCTGGTGGTTTTGTATAGCTTTCATCCATCTGTCTACAGCTTATAGAAAGGATGATATCAAAAGTTACCTTCATAAGTTATAGAAGTGTTTCTCCTTTGATATCAACTTAATTCAAATTGATTTTCTTAAAGATTTATTGGAAATTATCACTACTCGATTAAGTAATTATAAAACATAACACGCACATACAAATAAAATCTTAAAACTTGATTTCGAAAAGATAAATTATTTAGAAACGAATTGTAATAAACAGATCCTTAGATATATAAATATGAAACCAAAATCTGGATCGTCTAAAATAGGCATGAAATACGTGTCACTGGACGTTCAACAATTAGTCAATGAAAACCTAGAACCAGTACAAAGAAGACACTTCGCACATAAGCTTCCTCTTGGATACATTTTCTACAAGAAAAATTTCTCCATTAATATCTTTTTTTATTTGTGTTTTATTTTCATCAATTATGCTTACTTTACAAAAAGTGTGCACTATTATTACGAATTGTTTAAACTTAAATAATTAAATTGTTTATATTGTTTATTTATTTCTTTAATTGACTAAAAATAGATAAGCCAAATTTAATTGGAGTTACATTTCTAACTAAGTATTTATATTCATATTAAAGCTAGATTCCTAGTTTCAATAATTTTTAGCTTCCCGTAGGAGTTTCATTTAAATGAAACGTATCGAATCATTCGATAAAAAAAACTCTTCTAGTCTACATTTTAGATAGATATTATTTTTATCAAATACCAGAAGAAAAAAGATTTTTAAAATATAAATATTTTATATTAAAGTAAAGAACTAAATAAAGAACAAACTAGATAAAAAAAAAGTAGTTGAATGAAAGTTTCTTTTGAAAACGAATTTTGTTTGTTAAATGGAGACTAAGACCAGCAGAAGTTCACCTACAGTGCACGCTTGTATTTCTCAGTGTTTCAGACAAAAGTAAAATGCTAATTAATTCCCTAAGGTCAGAAGGTTATTTTTGCTTAATTTCACATTTTTTGTCCTTTTTTCGAGTAGTTTTTATCAAAAGTGATGCATCTGTAAAATCTCTCCATAATATCTTAAAAAATCAAATTTCCAAAAGAAATCTATTATCACCAAACTAATTTAGGATAGAAAGAAAAAAGAACATTCTTGACTTATGCCGCTCGAATAAATTCTAAATAATAACCAAATTAGTCTAAATAGCGGGTTTAATTTTCCTTATGATAAATCTTTTGCAAACTAGTATTGAAACTTCCATATGATTAAAGATCACTCAGCTCTGCCTATTGTAGAATATGGCCGTCTAGTTCTTCTCAGGGTACTAAAATCCAACACCTCTTCAAAATTGTAATATGCTGTCTTTAAAAGCCAATAATAACTGCTTTCAGTCTGCTTTCAGTGCATTTTGTTGAAGTGTCGGCGCTGCATAGCTGACTTTCGACCATATGGACATTGTGTTTGATGAAGGCTGTCGTTGTTACGCCGGTTATGATATCACTCCGCCTTTTATACAAGGTTTTCAGCCTGTAATTGCTGTGTAAATATTGAAAGTAAACATCCCTCTTACCATGAACAAAACTCAACGTTTACTCTTTGGTAGTATCAAAACAGAAAATTAACTCCTTTGAAGAAGATGTTCGAGTGTCTTGAGATTTTGTGTAAATAAATGATTACAAGGACACGTGTATAATTATTTGGATTTTTTTTATTATGAAAAATCTAAATATTTTCGTTAATGCTGAATCAACGAATTTAATTATAACAGAAAATCTGTTAGTTGACCGTTTTGGGCGTAGAGTCTTTCCAGTATATTCTACATTTCCCAATAATTGTATAATCTTCCCTTGAAATGCCACTGGCTAAATTATCAACCCTTCGTCGAATCTATCTGTAGAATTTGTTTCTAATCTTGCTTTCATAAAGTACGAATAGTTAAACACAAAGAATATCTATTTACTAAAACCAGTCGAAATGTGATAATAACAAAATAAAACGAAAGAATAGACTCAAAATATGTCGATGCTTGCCACTCATTTTCTTGTTTTATATTAGAGATATGTTTGTCTGGATAGAATGGATTAATTAGTTTTGACGCATCTGCGCCGCCAAAGTACAGAATCTGATTTCGTTTGCATGGCCGCACAAATTCAACTCTTAATCGTTCAACCTATCATATTTGCATTTTTCATCGAATTTGATTTCCCCATCTTGTAAAATGTTCAAACCCTCGACAACCAAACAGCCATCGTTTTGACGTACAGAACTATTGTGTGAATCAAAAATGAACTCTTGTGTCGGTATTAGAAAAATGGCGCCATCATTGAAACAAATTTGTTAAACCGTTCATTGACAATAGAATTAACATGAAATGAGTGAAACTGACAATGAAAGGCACATGGACGATGTTCTTTTTTGTGTCTATCGTGTAATTTGTCCAGGAAAAGAATAAAAGTACATCTATGGTACTCTAATGTTACAATACCAGGAAAGTGATTCAGGAAGAGAGATATATAAATATCAATGATCAATCCTGGGGAGGCTGTCACTCAGAAAGGGAAATATAAATAACAATGCTCAATCCTGGGGAGGCTGTCACTCATAAAGGGAAATATAAATAACAATGATCAATCCTGGGGAGACTGTCATTTAGGAACAGATTTCGGAGTCTTCATTTGAAATGATGTATCTTTTTTTTTAAGTTAACCCCGTTGGAAGGCATCTGCTTAGAACGCCTAGCAATTTTCCTATATATAAGCGATGGATGAAAGGGTTGTTAAGATATCTATTGTTCGTGCATTTTAGATTGACTCTTAAAATTGTCCATTTTGCTTTATCGGTATTGTAAATGCAATGTATGTTTCTTGCTTACTAATATGCAGAAGGTGCAATCGACTCCAATCTTAGTTGACTAGCATTGCCAGTTTTCCTGTCGATTCTCCCAGGTTTCTTCCACTAATAAAAATAGACCGCTTACGAAATAGCACCAAACACCAATCAATCAATCTTGCTTACAGTTATCAGTATACACATTTGTTTTGTTTTGTATACTGTTGTTTGTCTTTTCGTCCTTTTCTTTTACTTTTGCCATGGCGTTGTCAGTTTATTTTCGACTTCTGAGTTTGAATGTCACTTTGGTATCTTTCACCTCTCGATATTTTACTGAAATAAATGCTCACATTACTAGATAAACTTACAACAGCTTCCATTATTAACAGAAAATCCTATAAAACAGTCTTTTACATATTTAACATGAAAAGTTATAAATATGAAACAATAAAAAGGGAATAAAATGACAATAGATTAGCTACCTATCGTGTCAAAGGAGTTGTCAAGCCATTAAAACTACGGTATCTGCTTCACGACTATAATGTCCTACAAGCTACCGTCATCAATATTGACAAACTAGCTCTGACAGATTAAATCACTCTCCGTCCATTTTATTTCAAATCATTCTCCTGTTTGTCTTAACACCATGCTTACAAATTACATTGGAAGCCATGTTTTCGTTAATGTTGCATGTGATGATGTAAAGTGACGTCCACTGATTTCATATTTTATTGTGTGTACAAATATGTTATCCAAAACAGTAGAATATTAATAAAAGTAAACAAAAAGAAAATATTTTTTATTAAACAAATATAAAATAATAATTAAAACGTTGAAGCTGAATGTTATACTTAAATGCTGAAATTGGTAACTTTGATGTAAATGAACTTCATGAACGAAGTTGCTGCTCTTTTCGTGACCTGCAAGGCAAGGTCATAGGTCTGATCTTGCAATTTGTTTTTATTTTCAATACTCCGCCCTGAAAAAGAAAACAAGAAAGTACTTTCAAGTTGCAAACATGATTGAGCCAAAAAAAAAAAAATAAATAAAAAAAAAATATGAAAAATTAGAATTAAAAACTAAGCAACACACTGCAGTATTTTTTCTTGACAAAAACAAACTATAATATTTAAGCATATTGTCATAATTATAATATATCTCTGAATGATGACAATAACACTTTATATATTGGATGCTTCCGAATCGCTTTTCTGGGTTTGTCTTAACCGTAAACGCTCTAACATAAGCATTTGAAAGCCAGGGATGTGTAAATACGTAGACACGTTAGAAGTAATATGATCAAAAAGAAACCTAAAGAGAATAACCAAATTCATCCTGAGACATAATATATTGATAGTATACTATTCATAGATTCATATAAACCCAACTTTCGGTCTGATTTTACTGATTTGCTTCGTGTCTTGCTCCAAATAACTACCTGATTTCTCGTGTTCAGAAAATTGCGTGAATAACTACTTTTAGGATATTTATTGATTTGGAGTTAAACAGGAAATTGTACGCTCATTATTATTGGAAATAAGTATAATATTTATTAACTGACCCGCGGTCATTTTACTCGTGGTTGTATTGCGATCAGCAGTAAAGTGTTGATGTCTGTAGTGTGATCGACGTTAAAGTGTTGATGTAAATGACTAACTTGTCATCGAGTGAATTGCCTTAATTAATTCAGATTAGAACTCGTGTATTGGTATTTGAGAAAATTAATTAAGACGATATTGTTGATAATTTTCTGTCCGACACATGACAATGGCCTATTGTAGTGGACCAACGATACCAGTAGATAAATATATATAGTTTCATTTTTATATGAGATTTTGGAGCAAACTTGGGTGGTATGAATCAGTTTTGGTGATAATTACAAGGAAAACTTGTCATGTACCTTGACTGGAAAATAGCAGAAAGTTTATAAATCAAATGAATCATATACATCAAGTTAACTATAATAAGATGTTTCAAATCTCGTATTATATTTGCTATTCGTTGGGAAAAGATTGCAGAAAATCTTGCATATTTCTTTACACAAAAAAAGCCTTTAAAATATCTTATTTTAATGAATCTTCACACAAAAATTCCTTCCTTAACTGAGAAAGAACGATCACATTTTCTGGAAATCTCAAGATTGTTACAACTTTTACACAGTTGAGTTTATGTTTTAGTTTATATACCCGGGTTTCTCAAGAAATATTGTTGCTTTCCTTTTTCACGAACTTTTAGTTTGCTTTCTTTTTCTTGTGCAACATTTCAAGACTTTTAGATATTTCTAAGATTAATGTTTTGTTCTTTGTGTTGTAGGTTTCATCTATAAATCGGGTACTTCGCAATCTGGCTACTGAAAATCAGAAATTTATGGGACAAAGCGCTATGTATGACAAATTAGGACTTATAAATGGACAAGCATGGCATCGGCCAAATCCATGGTACGCATCAAATATGCATGGTATGCCTGGAATTCATACGCCATCAGTGTATCCATCCCATCAGAGTGCACCCAGTCTCACGGAAAAGAAAAGTAAGTACTCAAAAATCTATATGGCATTTTTGTATTAAATATTACTTTTTTCAAAATTCAGGAAAAATTGGATGAAGAATGTGTAATTGAAAAAAAAACCCAAATATTTCTTGAAGTGTTCGGTCTATTACTATAAGAAATGAATTGCGCAAATATTGTTATTACTTCAAATGAAAGAAATATTGCGTTGACCATTTACATTACTGGCAGTCTGGTTTACCTAAGGGTAAAAATTAATATTTGTGGAATTTTGTAGACTGCATTGAGATATAAATTGAACCTTCCAAATCCATATATATAATGCTTAGATCACGTGGCTTAGATATCAAAGCTGTATCATTACAGACATGCGACCCCCAAAAATGAAAATATATCGATATATTCAAATCTAAAGATATTCTTCAAAAGGGGATTTGGTGATACAATTTTGCCCATATATGTTTGTGAAAGAAGGCAATGGTAAAACCTCCCTCTGTTAGGTGTGCATATCAAGTTTCCTGTGTGGGTATAAATGGTATTCGACATGTCTATTTTTATTTATTTTTTTTAATTTTTATATAAGATAATACCATCTGCGTGTAATTATTGGTATTTATATCATGTTTTGAGGTTAAACTGGTTTCTCCATTTCGTCGGGAGCGGTCGATTTAATATAGAAATTTAAGGTGTAGCTAGCATTTTATAATATGCACTAAAGTCGTTGGTATACTCAACATTCATACATGGAAAAGTTGTTTAAAACAAATTAATATTCTCTCACGTCTCAATTCTGCATAATACAATGCTAATGCTTTCCTACCACAAAGAAAAGTTAATGCAACAAATCTCATTTTCTACATAAAACATTTTAATCCAATATTTGGGGGAAATTTTAATGTAATTTAGATTGCAATATAATATGTAACAATTGCGTTATAATCGCCGGGTTTAAGAGACAAGTCCTAATGCATGTAAATCGTTCATTATTTGTATTTTTCAAAGTTTCCTAACACGTGTTTTCAATAGTAACTTTTATAGCCATGCTCCTGTCAACAATATAAAGAAAACATCATCTTAATTCAGATTTTATTAGTACAATTTTACTGACAAGTTATCGGATTATGGGTTTCAAAGGGACGCTTGCAGTATAAAAACGTTGCAATAGTAGTTAATACGATTCTATATGCATAGGTAAAGCCGATAGAACATAAAGACTCATTGTCATTTTTTCTGATGAACATAAAAAATTTGCACTTTTATAGTGCTATTTAAATGTTGACTTTCTGATATGCTAAAAACATCGTTAATCATAGTCAAATTGGAATTTAACAAATTTGCTACAATTTTAAGGTCAATCCTTACATAACTAAGCTATTGTATTCTAAGAGTTGATGTTAAAATTTGCAATTTGATAAATATAGAAGCTAATACTTCAAAAATAATTTCTAAATATTCGTTTCGTTCAAAATTCTGTTTTTTAGAAAGTGTCCTCTTTTGTGTATTTCCTTTCTCAATGCATATGTTATTTTACTGGATAGAAGTACAAAATATGTCGTCTTTTATATAAAAGATTTTTTGTTGCTATTCTTTTTTTTTAACCAAATGGCATTTGGTGATAATTTGTTTCAGTGTGACATTAATGGTGAATTGCCTTACAAGTTCCTTGTATTAGTAATTAGCAAAAGTTAATAAGAAATCAAGTTGCAGAGATACTTTTAGCACGTTTGGTGCAATGTGGAAATATTGTCCTGTCTACAGGTCGAACTTTGTGTGTTAAGATTTTCCGCCCTTTCAAACCGATCAAGTGGAAGCCGTCACACAACGATTTTGTCCGCCATCACAACTATAGAAAGTGTTAAACATTTACACAGAATTACCAATAAAAGCATTAGCTTCGTATAAGGTTATGTAAAATTGATATAGAAAAACTAGTAACAAACATTGCCAGCCTCCATTGCACACCAGCGATGTCGTATTTCATTTTTCATATCTCATTCTTCTTTCTTGTCATGTTAACAATACACAGGCAGTGAAGCATACAAATTAATATTAATGCGCGATAACCTAGCGCGTTTTAATCCAACATCAAAGATTGGACATAAAAGTGAGGTTTAAGTCTTACTGTGATATTATACTATTCCTTCCCTTTTCCATAACTCAATGGTGTTGAAAGTTAAATACAATTGGACTTATATTATAAGGATACATATTTACAATTGTATACAAAACTACATTTTAATATGACTCGGAAATGTAGCAAATATATGCAGGATCAATGCGGAGTTAAGCTTTAAGCTGTTCAAATATACATTTAATTTTTTTCTTAACAATAGATGCTGGAGGTTTTATTATTCATATATTTCAGAATCATTGCTTAAAATATGAAGATCCTCCAAAATATTCCCACTTTTAAGAATTCATATTCAGATACTAAAGAAAAGTGAAAAGATATATAACCAAATTAAGTTTTATTTGAACAATGTTGTTTCATTTTCATACATTTCATAACTTATTGTTTCTGCAATAATTCCGGAAAATATTGTAGCTGTAATATTTTTTACAAGAATTAATACCATCAGGTATTCGCTTTTGATATCGGAAGCTTATTAGGTATTTTATGTGTTAAAGATATTCAAGATTTCAAATCGCGTCATGCATAGAACAATCTTAGAATGGTAAATGACTTCCAACTGACTGAGATAGGCTATTATCGTTTCCAGCTTAATCCAAATTACATTATCGGTGATCATGGTACTACACCCATCATTAGTTAAATTTTCCAATTCGATGCATGCAGAAGTTAGTCTAGTTAGCGTATTCAGGTTTTTGCCTCTGGGTTTCTGTCTATTCCAAGCCTTGTGGCAAGTTTGTATTAAAGGGTAATTACTAACCTTTACCCTAACATTAAAATCTAAAAAACCTTACAAATGATTATAGTGGTTATCTTAGAAATGATAGGACACACATAATTTTAGTAATTGTGGTTAGGAATTCGTTGTTCAGAATTGATTCCGTTGCTGTTTTGTTTTCGATTCGCGTGTTTAGGACAGATCATTTGTCTAGGTTTTTTTCTAAGAAAATAAGGACAAAAATCTTCATTATAGTCCTGTTTGAACGGTTTTTGATAAATCATGGCTAATGAAATAGAATTATTTTGTCTGTCTCGAAAACGTTTTATTGCAGTTTTTATGGGTTGTTTTTTTTCCCAGTCTTACACTTAGTTGATTTAAATACATCGCTGATTTTCAATATCTTTCAATTTCTCATGAAAGTATATTACAACACTATTGAACATCACAAAATTAGGATTAAAATTTCACACCATTTTTCTCTATAACCGTCCATTTTAGTTCCTTGTTAATCAAATCATTTGAAAATTACGATTGTCCTCGTAGAATAAATTGTCAAATATAACAATACAAGAAATAATGCGGCAGGATAACTCTATTAAATCTTCAGTTACATTTTATTGGACTTAAATGTGGAAATCTGGACAATTGAAAGTGTTAAAATTGAATTAAATGATTTTATTTGGAGAATGAAACACTTGATACTATTATGGACAGTAGTCAGCCAGTCTGTACGCTCTTTCAAACCCTTCTATTTTAATCTGCCTCACATATAATATAGCTCATCTTAAAACATCACAGATTTACATATTTTCGTAATCCAAACTCTGTATCGTTAGTTTGATTTAATTGGGTCATTCGCCAAATTGTCCGGCCAATTGTAAGGAAAGTATATGAAACCTTCAAAAATGAACCGAAAGCAGAAAATTATCAACGACCCAAATCAAGTGAAGAATATTCAATCCACAAACTGTTGTGGGTCAGATCTAAAAGGAATGTTAATTCTGTTACATCATCACCCCTAAGCACTAACGTAGGGAAGGTAACGAACCCACTAATTTTGAATAAAAATGAGTGAACACCAAAATACTAAACACTATACGAGTTTGTCTGTCTTTATCAATACCTACTTAGATATCAATTGGAATAACACATCACATATTATTAAGAAGATTTGATTATTTGTGAAAGTTAAAATCCGTTTAAAGTGATATTTTTAATAAGAAACGTAAATGTTTTTGAATAAGAATTTGAATTTTAATCTTTTGGAAAAATATTTAAGGATCGCTTTAAATTTAACAAACCATAAGGCGCCAGGAAGACTACAAACTTGTGAAATTTTCTATATCATTGTAACGGCTTCTTGTCTTAAGGATACAACATAACTATACAGTAAGATAAGTACTACTGAGCGAAGGTGTCCATTTATATACCATGTTTTTTTACTGCATAACATTCAATGTCCAAAAGTCAAGAAATGTTAGTCATTGATTTGGACTGAGAAATTAAAGAGGTTATCCCATGGAAGGAACATGAATCAATGAGTAATGTCTTAATGACGTCTAACAAGTATCTCTTTCTATACATATGAAATAAAATTCAAACCTGCGGGGAATAGACCAGTATAAAGATGAAATATCAAGTGCAACAAAATAAGATCAACGTTGGCCTAGAAATATCTGCAGAAAACTGCAGGAGCTCTATTACAAATAAACATTTATTTATCTTCCAAAGTAAAAGCTGTTTTTCCCAAATTTAATAAAATGTCTATCTGTCTTAAATCAAATTGAAATATAACATCGGCGTATCTGTATTTATATTCATCATAAATGTTGGGATCTAAAAAATTGAAAATACAAAGAAAAGACACATTGAGCTTTTACCAAAGAGGACATCAAACAATGGCCTAAATTTTCTATCTTCAACTTGCCACTGCGCCTTAATTTTTGGTACAAGTTTGCCGAAAAATATCAACTAAAAATCAAAATAATATGCCTCAAATAAAATCATGAGTATATTTATTGGTAGTATAAAGCATTATATGGGTTAGAATCATTCGCCTCAACGACTTGTTTTTTCTACCGTATGGTAATATTATGAATGGGACTGAACTTTAATCACGTGATTTTTAAATGTAAATTGTTTCCACTATACGGTATAACTTTATACTTTTATTAGCTTTTTTTTTTTTAGAATTGTTGAATTATAAAATTGAATACATTTATTAAGTAAAAAAATGATATACGACATTTATATATGTTTCGGAAACTTTAAAGCCAATATCAAAATAAGGTTCATTGATAATTTTGACATTTCATTTCCTGTACAATTTCAATTTACTCGTTGTAGAGGGAGTGTACTCATTTTATCTGAACAATACATGTTCAAAATAAATAAAGGATGTTTTGGGTAAAAAAACACCAAGTTAGTACCCAAACAATACTCGTTCTTTAAATTACACAACCAATTTCAAGTTACTTACGTGTTTATTGCTCTGATGTTGGAAAAAAAAATGAATTGATATCGCTAAAGCTAAAAAAATTTAAAATACAGTACCAAATTATCAACTACTTTAATTTGTTTCATATAAAATGCAATTTTACAATAGCATTATGTTGTTTTTTCTCTCTCAAAAGACAATATACAATTATTCGTTCTTATATGAACATATAAATCTGAGGCAGTTTCCAAAATATCTAATTACCATGTTTTATGTAAGAGACATTATAACGCCATATATCGACTTTCTGTTATATACGAACAAGTTAGAACCTATATTTAAAATAATATGTGAGTTTAAGTTTTGTTAAAAAACGTCTTTTTTGGTGGAGTTGAACAGTGTAATCCATTGAGTGACCATTCTGAAAACAGAACCATTAAAATGTATACGCCCAATAATTTTCCCGAGGTTTTTCTAGTACAGTCTAGCTGTAAATCTGATCTTAATCATTGTTAAACTTATTTTTTATGTTAAAAGCTATTGTTTGTTTAACAACAAAGACGTTTACTATAAATATGACCGATGATAACTTTTGACTTACACGTACATGTAATAATGGTATTCTCAAAGTCAATATTAAAATATATCAGGTACGAAATTAAAAGCTTCATGTATATATAATGAATATGAACAACTAACAAGGCTTTTTCTAAAACTTTGGGAAGTGTGTAAAACCTATAAAACTGTTTCCGTGCTCAGTGACATCAGTATCATACACCATATAATGATATATAGTTTATAGTTTTGACCTTATCCTCATTGAAATGAAGTAAACAAGTGTTCGAATCAATTAAAGAACATGGTTCCCTGCTTATATCTGTGAAGTTCCCTGATTACAATATGGAACTAAAAGGTCCCTGATCACACCAATGAACTTTAGTAAACAATCTTAAGTTCCGTGAAGTATAAGGTCACTGATTACACCAACGAACTCTTACAATACAATCTGAAGCTACCTGATTACTCTAATTGAACTTTTGGTTACGCTTAAGCAACTTTAAATTCACTGAGCATACTGGAAAGTTTTAATAATGAATAAAAGGGATTCCAGGAGTTATCAAGAATACTGTACAGTACAACAGACCAAATACTGTACAGTACAACAGACCAAATACTGTACAGTACAACAGACCAAATACTGTACAGTACAACAGACCAAATACTGTACAGTACGACATACCACACTTAATAAGTTCTCCTTGATCATCTTTAGATATTACATTCCGTGGTTTATTCTCTGGTCCTTGATCCCCCTTAGACATTACATTCCGTGGTTTATTCTCTGATCGATCCTTGATCACCCTTAGACATCACATTTCGTGGTTTATTCTCTGCTCCTTGATCACACTTAGACATTACATTCCGTGGTTTGGCCAAAAACTGGAATCTTCCAAATAACAATTAAAACTTTCTTGCTAGGGCAACACTTAACTTTTCTTATTACATGCAACTGAAACATCGGTTCAATCGAGAATCCCGAAGTTCCTTCTAGTAACATGGAAGTGAAAGACCATTATGTATGTGTCTCATTAAATTCCATATCACATATTATCTCATAATAAGCATTTCATCTTGTTCCTGGTTCTTCAGTCATGATACAAGTAAACATATAAGGGTTCAAAGTAAAGCATTGTAATAAAAGACTAAAGTTTATACTGGATTATAGACAGGCTTTCTTGTCAATGGTTTAATGATACCTGAATGCTAACGATAATTGGCAGATTCTTTTGCAAATTTCACCGAATGATTACATCTTTTGTTGGCGAGATGAAATGAAATCAAAGTCACCTTGATTAATTGAGTGTTTCAAACATGAAACATATATAATTGAATTAAAAAGTGGAATAGTTATATCCATTAATAAAAATATCGATTATTTAATCCTAAAAGTAGCAGAAATACCAATTGATTAATAAATTAAGCAGACGTTTTGAGGACCAGTTATCATAGAAATCAAGCACTTCAACAAAATTGTAAGAAAATATGGCAATCACTTTACTTCTTTTTAACATCGTCCCAGAATAGGAAATGATGCTCCAACTCTGTAGGATTGTGAGTTCCGGAAAAATAGCTGTCCTGGGCGGTCATTGATTCTTCATCCTTTGATTATTGTAACTTTGATGAAGAGTAAACTGCACCATGATCGCTATTAAATCAGTATTGAAGACATATCGCTCACTCCATTGGATAATAATAAAAGCGCACGTGGGACAGGCTCTTTGATGTTAAGTGAAATTTTCTGTTGTAATTTTGATAGGAATGAAAACTATATATTCATTGTGTATATTTTATAGTATTAATCATAACCAGCTTGTAAGCGTATCGACCCACCAGGACTAAACACAATTACATCTCATTGATGTGGTCCTAGCTTTACAAGATTTGGTAACATTCCTAAAAATACAATAAAATAAGGACAATTCCTCTGTTCTGCCTTATATTGAATATCAAACTCTTAATATCAAACAATTTCAATAAATATTGTACATTTATTATGCATCTGGGTCATTTTAAAACCACACCATAACAATGTAAAGAGTAATTTCAAAGAGTTTTGATCCGGTTAACAAGTACGTTTTATTGAGATCAGATCCACACAAACAGGTATACTTGCATTATTTGCACGTAAAAACTCCCAAATGTTGTACAAGTCATTTTATAATGATAATAAATGCAATATCGAGTACTTTTAACGGTTTACGTTATTTAAAACCTTCATGAATCAAAATGTTTGCACCTAATTGCATGTACGATGCATTTTAAATTTCAAATTTCAAATCTAATGAGGTTGTTGCATGTTGCAAAATTAACAATCGTATATACAACTTTTCAATTTAATTGCATGTCCAGTACACTAGTAAATGTTCAACTGGAACCCAATGATTTACACCGACATGGAACTTTCTCCAATACGTTTTATCCAAGCCTAATTGCTTTTGGATATTTCAATAGCCTGAATATGACTCAAAAAAGAAACCTTGACAGACATTTGATAGTAGTTAATTCCTTAGCTTGTTCTGCAGGCAATCGGGCATTAGTTTATTGATTTTAATTTGAGCAGTACTGTTTCTGCATTAAATACAATAAAACTTCGATTTATCAACAAAGATATTCCGATTTCACATTTCATTACTTTAAATAGTAAACAAGAATACAAAGTTTATAGCATATTACATAAATGTTTGTTTGATATGTTACAGATATCGATGGCGTCCATTCGAGTTCAGAAAGCAATAATAGCGAGGGACAGAATGGAGAAGCCGATGAACAATTACGCATGCGTCTTAAAAGAAAACTGCAACGCAACAGAACGTCTTTTACAGCCACGCAAATTGAAGCTTTGGAAAAAGGTAAATGATTTAAAGCTGCTGTTAAACTCTGTGCTTTTAAAACATTATTTTCTGTAATATTGACTCTTTCCTAAGTCAGGAACCTGATGTTCAGTGGTTGTCGTTTGTTGATGTGGTTCATAAGTGTTTCTCGTTTCTCGTTTTTTATATAGATTAGACCGTCGGTTTTCCTGTTTGAATGGTTTTACACTAATTATTTCAGAGGCCCTTTATAGCTTGCTGTTCGGTGTGAGCCAAGGCTCCGTGTTGAAGGCCGTACTTTGAACTATAATGGTTTACTTTTACAAATTGTGACTTGGATGGAGAGTTGTCTCATTAATTGGCACTCATACCCCATCTTCTTATAACTCTTTAAGTATCAAACTGGTATAGCATATATACACGAAAAGTCTTCACAAATTACCTATATAGAATAAGGAGATGTGGTATGAATGCAAGTGAGACAACTATCATCCAAGTCGAAATTAACTGGATGTAAGCAATTATCGGCAACCGTACGATCTTCAACAATGAGAAAAGCACATACCGTTTAGTCGGCAGTCATACGTTTTGGGGAATTTTTTAAATTGATGTTATACAATTGTTTGACTCCTTTTATTATATTAAATTTTATTTATAATCACAATAGTAAAATAAAACATATAAAAATAAATTAAGTTACATATCATTTTGGTATACTTCAGAAAACTATTATTATTATTATTATTATTATTATTATTATTATTTGTGAATGTGATACAAGAAAGATTGAAAATTAAAAAAGTTGACCACATTTACATGGATCATAAATTGCAGGTCAGAAAACACAATGGTTGTCGTTTCTTTTTCATTGTACGTGTGTTTGTGTCTTTATGTCTGTATGTCTGTTGAGTCTTTGGTGTTAATAACAGATATTTGGTCATCTCTCTTCAATCTATTCTTAACCTGTATAGACTGAGAGATTTATAGTTTGTCACTCGTCATTGACGCTCGTACATTGCTTTCTAAATCACATATACTTTTTACCTCCTGGTTTGTGTTTACATTTAATTTTTTTTATAAATAAACTAATTGAATTGTAGAATTTGAAAGAACACATTATCCAGATGTTTTTGCAAGAGAAAGATTAGCACAGAAAATAGATTTACCAGAAGCACGGATACAGGTATGCGATGTAAAAATGTTCAATATTCTTTTAACATGTATTCAAGAAAATATTTTCAATATTCCGATTTAATGAATAAATAATGGGAAGTAGAGTATTATATTGGAACTAGCTATGATTGTGCAGGTGAATCAGTAGTTTAATGATTGCTTAAACAATTTCTATATTTATTAATTATGAACCACGTGCTTAAACAATTTCTATATTTATTAATTATGATCCACACATGTAAAACCGCGTTTAACGTATAATAATAAAGGTATCATAACTAATCGGTATAACTTGCGAAACTGTAGATGAATTATTAATGTAATGATGAATGTTTTCTAACAAACATTAAGTAATAAAAAGTTAAATGATACATGTATATCGATTCGAGATCTATACAAAGGGTAGAATGATCTGACAATTTGACAGCTACATATAATTGTTAAACAAAAATGAAATACTATCATTCAATTTATAGGTTTGGTTTTCAAACAGAAGAGCGAAATGGCGTCGAGAGGAAAAACTACGCAATCAAAGACGGGATATTCCAAATGGAGCACCCAGATTACAAGTGAATGGTGGTTTTCCGAATGGAATGTATCCATCTATACACCAACCTATAGGAACAATGTCAGATTCTTACAGGTAATAAATATTTATACATTTTTGAATACATCTTACAGTTTTAAAAAAAATGGTTTCTTTTAATATTTATTCGTTAGATCTATATAAATCAGACTATTTCAAAATTGTTCACATTACTTATAACCGATGTGATATTCTATTGTCCTTTGTATAAGTTTTCTTTATGTACTTTATGCAGTTAACAATAATTTCTATTTTAACTTGTTTTTAAACGAATTGCATTGTTCCTAATAACAACTTCTGGACTTATTGATTTTAGCTCAATGACAATGCCCACCGCCAGTTATTCGCTATCCAATAATCTCTCAGCAAATCCAGCCTGCCTACAGTCCAGTAACGCATCATCGTACTCATGTATGATTCCAGGTTAGTAGTCCGCCTTCAACTTCTCACTTTTTTCTTTTGATCAACTCTTTGATGCCTTCTTAAATCTAAGTCAAAAAGAAGATGCACACGAATTTCATAATTTTGTTATTGAAAAATATCTTAAAGGGAATAACATATAAAGCTATAAAGAAGTTATTGTATGCACCGTATACGTTAATGTTTATATCAAAACATCATATTCATCGTCGTCCTTATCCTTGTATTTTTCTGATTTGATAATAATGCAAAAAATTATTTATTTTATTACCACACAAAATATAAATAAGCACACTATAAATGATAATTTTGATTAAACTAAAGAAAATAGATATTTACGATAACATAGATGCTTGCGTTTGAATCAAGAGCACTGAAGGGTTTTTATCTCGATAACGTTTACTCTATATATTTGTCTTACATAAATCACTTTTATCATAAACAAGTACTACGTTAATAAACACCATAGTATTGTTATAACTAAAACAATCAAGCTGTGCTATACAAATATAAGTAGAACCTAATCATAGACAATGTATATTTACAGAATACTCATCACGAGGCTACGATCCTTTGTCTTTAAGTTACTCCCGTCCATCATGCAATCCAGCTTCCGGTATGCAAAGCCAATTAACGCATAGTTCCCATAATGGTGCATCAACGGGTAAGTGAAATGTCTTTGTTGTTAGAAAAAAACACGAAATGCTCGGGAAACAGATCCTTCGATTTAAAACCTAAAACAAAAAACCGAACAAGCTCGAAAAAAAATGACTGCATATGTGATAGAATAAAATACTTTGGACCAAGTGAAGGATGACAAAAATGACCTCAATTTACTCTTATATTCATAGGTTGAAAATGTTGTTAGACAGTACAGAAGTGTAACATAGGTTCTACTATGCAGCTAGTATTTGTTTTTATGAAATACCCTCAAGATATGTCACATATTTCATCAATAGAATTAATTGGGAACATTTATCTACTGTAAAACTATTAACTATTCATATGAAATAAAAGCACAATACTGTTTTTTGAATTGGAATGTTGTAAGACAATGTATTTCTCTTTCAGGTTTAATTTCACCGGGTGTGTCCGTTCCGATACAAGTACCTGGCGGTGGACATCCAGATATGGGGTCACATATGGGCGCAATGACGTCACAATATTGGCCTAGATTGCAATGACGGTGACAACCGTAGACATTCTGATTTACCCATTAGGAAATCCAGTTTAGACGGTCAATGACTGCATAGTTTCTCCAGTACTGATTTGGAACTCATAGGGGAATGTGAATTAAAAAAGGGAGATAACTGAGAAAACGTTTTGTTCCTGGTATTTATTGTGCAAGTCGGATACTAAAGACATTTATTTACGACAGATATGGTTAAATATAAACCTTTCATTGCCAGTTCTAGTGCTCAGGAAATAAAAACTCAAATAAACATTCAGCGCTACTAGTGCTCCAACATATGCTATTTGTGCAGCACATGCTATATGTAGTTCACAAACATTTCGTAGCATCACTCATCACATGACAGTCACATGACAGTCACATGATATGAAATCCAGTATGTTATCTGTTATTTGTAAATGGTTAATGTTAATTTTTACTTCGCTTTTAATTGTTGTTATTGGTTGTTATAATGTATATCATTTTTCTTACATTGTAAATTGCTTTTGGGGCATTTATTTTTTAGCCTGACATCTCAATTTTTTAGTCATAATTAACTGGTCAGTAGAACTTTCGACAGATGAATAATCACTATAAAAAGTATTGTTTTTAAAACATCTGTTTGTAACAGCAGATGACATATCAAAGGTTGTTATGAATAAGACGATATTACGTAAGATTTTTTTTTTCTTTTTATCTCACAAGATGTGTCGTTGGTTATACACATTTAATTATATTATAATATTAAAACTATAGCAATGGCATGTTAATTGTAAGTAAAACATTTCTGTGAAGACTACAGCAATACAAACAGAAAAGAAAGTACATTACACTCTCATTGGATCTTTGGATGCACTCTTTGTACGTGGATAGTTTTCACCAACGTTATGTAAGGTGTATGAATGTTGTGTATCAATAATTTGAAGATCTCAACCTATTTACCTCGCCTAGTATTTTAGTGTTCATCCGCACAATTTTTCTTTGCATTACATGTCATAAAGTTGAGTAAATAAATAAATAAATATTGATAACCTTTGTTTTCTTTTCATTCTTTGTGAATTCATATTTTTGTTTTTATCTATGAATAAAAGGACTTTTGGCGAAGAAGTCAACAGCGAGACAACAATTCCAACAAAGCAATAACAAAAGCGCATTTTGTCATTAGTGATTAACAATTTGGACGTAAGAATATAAAAACAAGTCGTTTTGGTTTTCGTGTGAACACATCGTTATCTATGACGAGTTTTACAATTGGTCAATGCCACTGCTAGTCGACGTTTCGTCCCCGATGGTATCACCAGCCCAGTTGTCAGCGCTCCCGTGTAGGTATGAAATATCATTGATATATTCATTTCCTGTAAATTCACTGTTTATATATTGTTAAATACATTGGAGAAAACTAAGGTATCTACCCCAGGTATAGTGGAAAAAACTAAGGTATCTACCCCAGGTATAGATCACCTTTGCCAGACTTGGCACAATTTTGTTTAACTTTTGGTTTTAATGCTCTTCAACTTTGATATTGATTTGGCCTTCCAACTTTTTTGATTCACTTCTTAGTCTTATGCAGAAGAAGCGTTCGTTTGGCGTTCTATAGACTGGTATCGTTTGTCGTACTATAGACTGGTATCGTTTGGCGTACTATAGACTGGTATCGTTTGGCGTACTATAGACTGGTATCGGTTGGCGTACTATAGACTGGTATCGGTTGGCGTACTATAGACTGGTATCGTTTGGCGTACTATAGACTGGTATCTTTGATGATTTTTTAGTAATTGTGCTAAATCTCAAAATTGTTTTGTTTTTGTTTGCCTCTTAGACTTTGTCTATTACACGAGACTCTATTTTGACCTCTAGATAACTTTTGTTTTCTTGTTGATGAGTTACCGTATGAAACAAAGCAGATGAATAGGAAACTATGAGCAACTTAGTTGGGAACTGAAAAAGGTTGAACGGTTGGTACTATAATAGATGTTCTGAAAAAGAGGGGTAAAAGATACCAGAGGGACATTCAAACTCACAAGTTGAAAATAAACTGACAACGCCATGGCAAAAAAAAAAGACAAAGACAAACAAACAAACACTAGTACACTAAACACAACATAGAAAACTAAAGACTGAGCAACACGAACCCCACCAAAAACGTTTGGTGATCTCAGGTGCTCCGGAAGGGTAAGCAGATCCTGCTCCACATGTGGTACCCGTCGTGTTGCTCATGTTAGTACAAACCCGGTAATAAGTCTAATTCGTAGGTCACATTCGGTAAAAGGGGGACCGGATTGTGGTTACGACATTAGGAATATATAGTTATCAAAGGTACCAGGATTATAATTTAATACGCCAGACGCGCGTTCCGTCTACATAAGACTCATCAATGACGCTCAGATCAAAATAGTTATAAAGCCAAACAAGTACAAAGTTGAAGAGTATTGAGGACCCAAAATTCCAAAAAGTTGTGCCAAATACGGCTAAGATAATCTATTCCTGGGATAAGAAAATCCTTAGTTTTTCGAAATATTTAAAGTTTTGTAACAGGAAATTTATAAAAATGACCATACAATTGATATTCATGTCAATACCGAAGTGCTGACTACTGGGCTGGTGATACCCTCGGGGACGGAAACGTCCACCAGCAGTGTCATAGACCCAGTGGTGTAAATAGTTATCAAAGGTATCAGGATTATAATTTAATACGCCACAGACGCCATAGGAACATATCCGCTATCATCTGTGAAACTGATATTCCACAACGGTCAACCAACTCATGATGGCGTCCGTCAAAAATGGGATAATTTCAACTTCACCACTTGGAACTCTTGGTTTAATAGCTTCCTAGTGAGCAGCAACCCTCTATCAAGGAAATTATGATAGGAAATAAAAGCCCTGGAATATCGTATCAACTGGGAGATACTAGTATATACACCGTTTGCAGGCGCTGCTGGAATGTTGCTACATAGAAATGGAAAGTTCACAATGAAAAGAGTAACCTCCGATCCTCGTGTAGGAAGTTTTGTCTGAATGAATTATACTAATTAATCACCGAGCTAAAGTAAAATATCAATTGCTACCTGGTAGAACACTGGACAAAATGGATAGAGAACAGCGCATGTTCCAAGCATTTAATATTCAAAGCCTAGTGTATGTCTATAGAGTGGAGTTTTGTTTGTCGTTCTATCTGGACTAATGAGATAAATTTTGTCTTTGTAAAAATGTAAGTATTGGCGGCGATTGTAGTTTATTCTATACTATATGTTTTCAATTACATATTACAATAATTGAACTATTTAAATAAAAAGATTCTTTATGTGATAAGCAATGTATATGATAATATCAGGAAGAATATTGCTGACCAACTGTATTAACATGATTAACCAAAACTAGAAAGCAATCTAAAGAATATAGAGGCATAAAAGAGGGGCGAAAGAAAAGAGGGGCGCAAGATACCAGAGAGACATTCAAACTCATAAATCGAAAATAAACTGGCAACGCCATGGCTAAAAAAGAAAAAGACAAACAGACAAACAATAGTACACAAAACACAACATAGAAAACTAAAGACTAAGCAACACGAACACCACCAAAAACTGGGGGTGATCTCAGGTGCTCCGGCATAACTAATGTCACAAATACTTGACAAAATCAAAAGCAAAGGAACAGCGTCATTATTTTCCATGTCAAAGTTACTTATAATTAATACTTTAAACATAGAGGAAATGCCCACAACTCACTGTAAGTCCAAGACAGTCACCTATAGAGGTTTGAACGAAATATTTTTGCTAGAAGTCGTTATCGTTTCATCTTTGGAATGTAAACATACCCATCGTAGATATCAGGCATACTATTTTGTACGCCAGACGCGCATTTCGTCTACAAAAGACTCATCAGTGACGCTCGAATAAAAAAACTAAAAGAAACCAAATAAAGTACGAAACTGAAGAGCATTGAGGACCAAAATTTTCGAAAGCTAAGCGAATTTAATCCTGTATAAACGTATAAATTGTCCGTAAAAAGTGGAGGAAAATATGAACTTTTTCCACTATAAGTTGCGATTTGATCATAAATCCATCCACAAAATAATAAAAAAAATAATGAATATTTAAGAACTGTAAACATTTCCCGTTTTAATGATATGAAATATTAGGGGTCATCGGTTTTGTGTTTTGCTGTCTTAATCATTTGAGTATGAGTGATGTATGACAAACCGTAGAAAAGCAACGGTTTTGGATGCGTGACGACGTCATACGGTTCGCTTATTTTGTCGTTTTGACTGTCTTCATATCGAGACTTAATACCACATGTGGAGAAGGATCTGTCCTCAAAGCTCTTCAACTTCGTACTTTATTTGGCCTTTTTAACTTTTTTTTATTTGAGCGTCACTAATGAGTCTTTTGTAGACGAAACGCGCGTCTGGCGCAAATACAAAATTTCAATCCTGGTATCTATAACGAGGTTATTTACTCTTCCAGAGCACCTGAGATCAACCCCGGATTTTGGTAGGGTTTGTGTTGCTCAGTTTTTATTGTTTGGTAGTGGTGTGTTTTGTATACTGTTGTTTGTCTCTTGGTCGTTTTCTTTTTTTGCCATGGCGTTGTCAGTTTATTTTCGACTTATGAGTTTGAATTTTCCTTTGGTATTTTTCGTCTCTCTTTTACTGATTTCTTCTGACAAAAATGAATCCATTACCACCGTGCAAAATTTCATCAAAATCCGAAGTATTGTCTAATTACGTATACTTTGCCATAAATGGATTTGACTATTATTTCTTATAGACAAGTTTTCAAGTATTATGAATTTGATATTCACAGAAATGTTCAAAACAAAAAAAATTTAAAGCCAAGGATGTATAACAACCTGAAAGTTTGAGAAGCCTTATGATCAAAAGGAACCTTACAATATAGTGGAATTAATATAGGGTCAATTTTTACTGAAAGAGTACGTTATAGATATTAATTTGAGTATGTCATAAATAACACAAACAACCACAATATCCTATATAAAAAGTAAAATAACAAAAATACTGTACTCCAAAGGAAAATTCAAATCGGAAAGTCCCTTATAAAATTGCAAAATCAAAAGCTCAAACACATCAAACAGGCATTTCCTTATGTAGAAAAGGTTTTATAGCTAGCTTAACCTCTCACTTGTATGACAGTCGCATAAAATTACATATAATATAAGTTTTTTTATTTGTTATAACATTTTGAAACCTCAAATTCATCGTTACCAACGTTATCGGCTTTCCAATATCTTGGCTACAAAGCATAAGTCAATAAAGTACAAAACAGAAACTTAAAATTCAACATAAACCATAGAAAACACTACAAATGACCTCGTGTACCCCGAAATGCCAGTAGGTTCATTCGTAGTATCTGCTGTGCTAAACATTGAAAGAAAAATGAAAATCCCTTTATGTAAGATTCAGTGAAAAATATTATGATGATAACAATTGAAAACAAATTGAAAACATATTTATTTTATCTATTACCATGACTTTTTCGGTTTATGGATTAAACACATGAACTCCAAAAAGGAGCAAGCCCAGGTGCGTTGACAGGGTTAGCGTCTCCTGCTTTGCATCAACCATTTTGCAAATACACACTCAGTCATTATGTCACAATCAGGAATAGGACACAATCGTTAAAATTACAGACCAGACACGTAAATTAGTTCTTGTGAGTTGAGACACAGAAACATCGTATCAGTCAACCAATTCGTAATGGTGACCGTAAAACATATAACGTATCGATTCCAGTCGTTCTCGCTCATAATTCTGGTGTAGCCATTGTTTTGCAACGGCACATCCCTGTTAATGAAGTCCGTGAAGTGTGAACATGAACTAGCGTTAACGTATTAATTGAGATACTGTAAACGAAATACAATGACACAAAGGATATGTTACTGCTGATAAAAGTGAAGTTGACAATTGGAAAGTTGAAATCATCATGTGGGTTATAGATGTTAGTTTGTAGTCTTCCATCTGTGTTTAAATGTCAAGGAAAAAAACATGACGATATGAAGCGTTCAGTAATGTCGTT